ATATATATATATATATATATATATATATTTTTTTTTTTTTTAAAGTGAACAAGTGTATTGAATATACTACATCAATTAAAGTTTATAATTTATAAGTGGATGTAAATCTCATCTTATACCAATCAATTTTGTGAGGATAAATTAGAGTAAAAATCTATTTTTTAATAGGATCAAAGAAATTGATTAGTTGTCTCACAATTCCATCCATATAGTTTTCTTGACGAAGGTTTTGGAAAAATTCTCAAAGAATATATTATTTTGCGCGTCATAATCATTAATTACACAAAAACAAGCTTTTGGGTTATTAACATCAGCAGGATCATGGACCTGAAGAGCAGCTCCCACAACTATTAGTTAGACAAACATTTCAATTCAGTTAAGCTCTATAGATTTAGAACCAAACATGCCACAACCGCTAATCTCTCATTTCCATCATTATTAACAAAACCCTAACCCAATTAAAAAAAAGAGAGTAACTTGCGTGCGTGGAGAAAAGGATAGTCCGAAATAGAGATGAAAAAAAAATACTGTACTTACAATATCTACAGTTAAAATACGTAACAGATATTAAACAAATAATTTTAACGAAAATCCATGAATAAAAAAAAAAAGAATGATAAGAAGGTAATTCTTATAACTGTAAAAAAAGAAGTGTAGCACCCTATTCTTTTCGCTGAAACAAGTACATAAGAATGCTGACAGTGATGGCATATATCAATAAGAAGGCCTTTTTGAAACAGAAATTCTAAAAAATTAGAAAGGAAAATAAGAGAGAAAAGATGAAAGTCTTATTTAGCAAAAGATTTATTGCAACATATAAAAGAAAAAAAAAACTTGAGAAAATTATTGCTAGGAAGTCCATAAGGGTGTGGTGGGTTGATAAAACTTAATTGAATTTTTCTTAGGCTTTTACTTCCTGCACTCCAGAAGTACTTTGGGCACCCTCTAAATTTTTAACATAACCATTTTATCCTCTTGCTAAATTTTTAAAATAACCATTTTATCTTAGGTAAAAGTAACTTTTGGATTATATGTTTTGAAGATTATTTAGAAAAAGTTTGGAATAGAATTTCCTTTACGCGGGAAATACATTTCGGTACAAGATTTTCGAAACAAACATTCCAGAATATATGAAATGTGATTTGGAAAAATCTTTGTGGAACACTTGAAATACGTTTTGGAATGAGCTGTTTTGTGTTCTTTTTCTTCTTTTTCTTCTTTTCCTTCTTTTTCCTTTGCATTGTTCTATCTTTTTTCTTCTTTCTCTGCATTAGTAATTATAATGGAAGGTGACGACAGAGAAGTGCTGTGATGCAATGATGAAAGGGAGTTAAGGTTTTTCATTAGTGTGGAGGTGCAGTTAGTAATTGTGAGGGTAAAAAATCAATAACCATTTTCTTATTGGGTGTTGCTCCCTCCACCATCACCCTATACTTCCTCCACCTCCTCACATTATTTTAAATACAATTATATCTTTAAGTTAAAAAGATTTTTACTTTGACCCTATTTTAAATAATTTGAAACCCTAATTTTACTTTTCCAGCACTCATCCACGGAACTCTTTTTCTCTTTCCCCATTTTCGTTTCACCTCCCCACCTCCCGCACTTCCATTCCTTTTTCTTCCCAGTATTTTTTTTGGTTTGAAAGCTTTCATTGCCGCCGTGGTGTGGAGGAACATCTAGAGCATCAACCAGCGTGAGGAAGTATACATCAACGGAGGTGACATCCTTCAACGGATGTCCCCTAATAAAACAAACTCTAAAATAAAAAACGTAACCTTAAAATGGGAGGTGACATCTTCGACGGATGTCAACATCCGTTTAAGGTAAAATGGATGTCGACATCCGTTTTTCCTTAAACGGATGTTGACATCCGTTGAAGAATGTTGACATCCGCTGAAGGATGTTGACATCCGCTGAAGGATGTTGACATCCCCTGAAGGATGTTGACATCCGCTGAAGGATGTTGACCTCCGTTTAAAGGTTACGTTTTTTATTTTAGGGTTTTATTTCAAGGTTTATTCGAATATGAGGAAGCACTCCACGCACTGCACCACGAGAACGACACTGCACCACGAGAACGACACTGCTTGATAATTCTTTCTACCACTACCAACCTTTGCAACTTGTAGTATCTCACAACGACGAAAGAAAGAGATGAAGATATATAATGTTAAAATGAAAGAAAAGTATTTTACTCATGTACGAGACTATAATAGATTATTAATGAAATAGATTGTGAATGGGTAAAATTAAAGAATAATAACTCTAAAAATAAAATTTTACTAAGGGACAAAATAGTAAAGGGGAGGTGGAGGGAGAAAGGTGTGGTGGTGGAGGGAGCAACACCCTTTCTTATTTGTTTTAGTTTGGCTTGAAGTTTATTTACACTCATGAATGACTTATGTAGTAAATTAAACAATTTTTCTTTTAAGTGAATGTGTTTATTCTGGTAAATATTTTGAGATTGTTGATTATTTATTATATTTGACAAGTTCTTTTAGACTGGATAATGCATATGCAGTTCATATATTAGCAAGATACAATTATGATGATTTTCATCAAAAATATTTTTATAGTGTTGTTGATGGTTTTAGTGTTGTAATATGAGTCATTTATTAACTTTGGTGATGTTACTTTATATTATGTAAGTAATTAATTTTATATTATTTTAATTAGCTTTCAAATAATTTTTTCCCTATTATATAAGATAATTATAAATGTAAAGTAGTTAATAATTGATTTTCGACACTCTATCCAAATTGTTTGGAATACATCACACTACAAGAATAATTGATATTATCGACGGTCGTAACTCATCGGTAATGTATAAAATCGGTAATTGTCGTTTACCGACGGTTTATCGACGGTCAAAATGCCATCGGTAAAACCGTTGTCGGTAACCTTTACCGACGGCCTTTTCAGCCGTCGGTAATTAGTCGATAATTACCGAAGGCTTGTGACCTTCGGGAAATCCGTCGATAATTACCGCGATCTGGTTCATCTTCTTCGTCTTCCTTCTTACCTCCGTGTCATTTTTTTTTCGTTTTCACGAAATCCGCCACCAAAAAAAGCATCACGCCAATAACAAACTCATTTCCAAACAATCAAACAACCAATTTATTTTCAATAGTTAAAATCATAGAGAATTTCTCTGCAATTCTCATATTTGTAAGAGAAAGAAGATGTTATTAGGACCGGTGATGTTCTTAATCGCACAGATCAACTTTACAATGGCTCGCCGGAAAAGTTGAGCTCACCGGAAAAGTTGAGCTTGTCGGAAAGACTGAAAAGGGGACAATGGTGGGTTGCAACAGTAGCGAGCCCGCGATGGTGAAGAGCAATGGGGATGAGACTACGTGACGGTAAGCAAAAATTAGAAGGAGAAATGAGTAGTGGTGGCAAGAAGTTCCGGTGACCAAACCTTGGAGGGTGGCACTGCCGGTGGGAAGAAATTGTACACTAAGATGGAGAGAAATGAGAAGGAGAAAATAGTGTGATGTTTGTCACATATATTGGCATTGGAGGCGAAATTCGGGCTGGAAAATTTCTATTCTTTTTACTGACGGTCACAAGCCTTCGATAAATCCGTCGGTAACGTCGCTCAGTGAAATAATGGGCGGAAAATTCCCGCTCTTTTTACCGACGACCAAAAACCTTCGGTAAATCCGTCGGTAAGTGACATACACATTAACGACGATCAAAAGCCTTCAACAAATCCGTCGATAATGTGCATTTTACTTACCGACGAATTTACCGAAGACTTTGGACCGTTTATAAAAAAATAAAAAAAAGTCAATAAATTCGTTGGAAATTAAAATATATCAACGGATATATATTCGTCGGTAAAAATCCGTCGATAATATTAATAAATTTTGTAATGTCATGAGCGTAAACATTCAATCGAATCTTTTGAGTTAACAACTTGTTTTATTTAAGATTAAACGTTTTTCTTATTTGTTATTCATTTTTTTTATATATTCAATACGAGACCTTGAAGTAATACTTAGTTTTTTAACCATACTAAATACAAAAACAAGTTTAGAGAATAATTGAATTTTCATATCCAAGCATTTAAGTATTAGGTTGGACTTTTAACTATATGTTCTAATCAAATTATCATTTTATCTCATTTATCCTAAGTTGAGCGATTTTTTATGTCTTCAAGATAAAATTTTATTCTCAAAGTTTTTGAAATAAATAAAAGAGAGAAAATATTAAAACATTCACTTAACTATTTCAATAAAATTGAGATTTTTGCTTCGATTCAACGTTGGATCGAATTAACATCTTAACAGAGGTTCAAAATATATAATTGTTCATTTTGATCGTCAATTAAAAGGTTATGATTAAATAAATTAGTTTCGCACACTTGTTTTTTTTATATTTCTCTTTCTTTTCTTCATATATATGACAACATTATTGCTTTATTAATTGGTTGGTTATAATTTGATTTGACTATTTTTATTTTAGTAAAACTTAATTGATTAAATGTTGTTCATAAAGTTTTACTTTTTATATTGAGAAGTATTTTTACCTTAAAAATATTAATAATATTTTTTGTGATTATTACCTTGTTATTTTCTATTATCGATGCTTAAATTCTTGCAAATTTGTAAAACATATTTCCGTAACATATTTTGATATTTATTATTATTATTATTTTTTTTCCATCAGACACTCAAGTCTTTATTTGAAGCTGTAAAGTTAACGAAGCTAATGTTAACTAGGGATTACTTTTTCACTTTAAACCTTAGCCATCCTGAAATCTCGAGCTACTTAATTAACAACTTTGATAGAACCAAAATAAATATAATATAATATAATATAACATAACTTAACTTGTTATACATTTGAGAGAAGCAAGGGGTAACGAATTTTTTCTATTAATTACAATATTGCTTGTCCTAGTATAACTTATAATTTCCTATTCCACAACCTGCATTGCAATTGTTAACTAAGTAAAAATAATAAAATAATTAATAACTTGAAATTATAAAAATTACAGAAATGATTGTATAAAAAGAACAAAGCCAATAATGCATAGCATTGAGGACGAAGTTAGTGATAAAACAATGTCGATTAGGGTTTTGTTAATCTTGATGAAAGTGGTCGATGGCGAGAATGGTACTGAGGTTGATTGGCTTCATATACTTAGTAGAACCTGACATAATTTGCTGTACAACAAGTTTGTTTGCCTTTTCAGTTGGATGAAACGCATCCCAAAAAACATGCAGTTCTCTGTTTGGACATAGGTTGGAAATTGGCAAGCATAGCCCCATACCATTGTAGGGTCCTTGTCCACAACAAGCAACTTTTGATGTATTAAATCCTATCCAATTTCACAACGTTAAATGTTATTAGATTTTCTTTTAACAATATCAAACAGGAAAATAATCTTCATTGCATACATGCTACTATTAGAAAGTAATTACCATAAGCTTTGGGATTGGTGATGAAGTCATTGTGCATCAGTGCTGTGTTTGCAGCAATGAAAATGACAGAGCCAATTTCGTTGTTGAGTTCAATTATCATTTGCTCCAACTGAGGGTTATATAATGCTGCAGCACGTTGTAGATCAGCAGAACATTCTCCATTTTTGCCTCGCATAGCCAATTCTGCAGGAGCACAACCTATCGGTCCTGTCCCTGTCACAATAACTCTTCTGCCTCCAAGATCATACAGCCTCTGCATTAATCACCATCATTATTATTTTATTAATGTTTAATACAACTTCTTACATTAATATATATACATCTGTTTTTCACCAGTGAACAAAATAAACAACTGCGACTTATGTATTATAAATTGACCTTATCTTATTTTATAAGCCGGTTTTGTGGGTTGAGTCAGTAGAGTTTATCCTAGTGATATTTGTTTTTACTAGACATATTGTTCCACCTGCTATCGGACCACTCATAAATGTCTAATCTTATGCACGAGATGATGTCTATATATACCTCGACGTGAAGAGGTGTGGTAGAAATCCCACTAAAAATAAAGTCAATTTATAATATATAAGTGAGTGCAAACTTCATTTTACAAGTCGATTTTATGGGATTGAATTAGACTTATAATCCACGTTTTAACATAGTTATTTTTTACTATCCACAACGACTTAGAAAGTCAATATTTTACTAGTGTTTCAACAAGTGAAATGTAAGAACTTGCATTAAAAGTTTATGATTGTATATACCTGCAAGTGCTTTTTGTAGCGAGAGATGAGAAGGTTGACGTAGTCTGGGAGTGGATATTGACGAGACCTTGCAGTAGAATCCACCAGGAAGTAATTGTTCACAAAGTCATTCCCACCAACAGTGATGAGAATTAACGCTTGATTCACCAGTCTTTTGGTTCTCGACACACCAATCAGAGCACTCATTCGTTGTTGGTACTCTTTAAAATTCTCTAATTGTTTATGCATTTTAATTATGTTCATCTGCAAAGCTTGCATTAATAAGCATCGCCAACTACAACTGTTTGCATGTCAGAGAAATTCAATTTTGTATTGTACTTCTTTACACCTTTTCATAAGGAAAAAGAGAGAAAAATATGAACAAGTATGTTTCACTCCACCCTCTATAATATGTTGGTGTTGGACCATTAATGAATGCCGAGGGCCATTAAGTACCCTGTCTTAGATCCAGATAGATTCCATGGTTCATGGTTCCATGTTTTCTGGGGCTAGTACTTACTACAATTTATTATCATCCATTTCACTTCTCAAATGGTATAAATTTATGATTGAAAAGGAAATGGGTTAATCTTATGCTAGTCAAAAATTAGTAATAAAAAACAAAAATTAAGAACAGAAATATGAATGTGAAACTATAGAGTTTTCCAGTAATAATTGATAACGTTTTAACATAATGCTATCCGACATCAGGTGTAATTAGTTGTCAATATAATTACAATTTTATTTTTAAAATTTGATGTAGTTAGTAGATAAACGAGTTTGTTAAGAGTCGAACTCAACATATGAAAAAAATAAATTATGACTTTATTTTAATAAATGTGTCTTAATTATGAGTCAGGTCATAGATTTGGTGCATACAACAGACTAGACATATATCAGTCCGTTTTCAAAAGGTGCACATGCTTTGTTCTCTACCTATATACAATTTAATTAATACCCACTTGCTCATCACAAATTGTAGCTCCCACTCCTTCCTTGACAAAAATTAGCCAAATTTGAAACTGTTACAATTAACATGGACAAATTCGGAGGCCAATTATCAAGAAGGTGAGAAATTTAAAAAGTAAATTATCAAATGACAGTATATTTGAAGATATTTACTTACAATTTATTTTAAAGGTACTCACTACTCTATTGGCTATGCCTGTGTCATGTTCATTCTTGATACACTCATAATCTTCTTTTTACTCTACTAATTACAATTGTAGGATTTTGCTTTTCAAAATTTATCCCTTGGCACAAGCAACAAAACATTTGCATACTGCATTTTAAAGGCTGAATCTACTAGTGCAATGAAGAGAAATAACAACAATTATTTTTTACAATATGTAACAATTTTTGAACCGAAACTGAGATATATGCTGACGAGATAAAAAATGATGCACTTTTGTTCTCGATTCTAATTGAGATAATAAATTGAAATTTTCTGATTCGATTTCTTAATTACTAAAATAATAAAGAAGAAAAGAGAAAGAAGTTTTTGCCTGGATTGAACCGAGGTAATAAGGTTTTTCTCTTTCAACGGATACCTTCTCTTTGTTGAATAAAAATATTGTACAAACACACTTCTCTTCCAGAAATCAAAACATGTGTTTTTTATTTGCTATATTATATGTTTATGAGAACCAACACTCGATAGATATGATATTGATATTGATATTCTTAGAAATTAATAGCTATTTTCCAACGTAAAAAAGTTCAAAAAGCAGACCTACGTCTATTTACGATGGAGCACGCTCACATGACACATTTTTACATTAATTTAAAATAGAATATAAGAATAAAATAATTATAAAAGTATAAATTTTTATATATATTTTTTTTAAAAAATAAAGTAAAAATATATAAAGATAATGTCAAATAAATAAATGTGTGTCAAAAGAATATTTTTCTATTTTCAATCCGGTAAAATTAACTCTACCAGTATAGTTAAATTCAATAAAAATAAGATATATAATATATTAAAAAATGTGTTGCATGTTAATACTCATTGTACTTATCATGCAACAATCAAAACCAAGTGAAGTTTTCTGGTATGAGTTATCAAGTACTTACAAAGTGATCTCCTGTATCGTTAAGGATTCCAACTCCAGCCGAAGCAAAATTCGCACCAACTAATAGATTCTCTATTGTTAAGTCAGGGCTCGAGTATGGCATTGTAGACTCAGCACCAAGTTCTTGACCTGAAACGGCAACACCTCTCATTGTATACATCAATTCTAACGTTCAAGATGCTAAAACCAGTGAGTGATAATATCTTTACTATTGACAGGAACAGAGTACAAATATAAGAAGAGTTGTGTGAAAAAAAAGTAATCAGTACAAAAAGTGGTTCAGACATGTTTCCTCTGACAAAGGTAGCAGTTACATAAACAAGTATTTGGACGAGTAATACTAAAAAACTGGTTTTGGGAAACTTAACTGATAAAATCAGGAATGTTGAATCCATTAGAGAAGCGTCCGGTTGGTTTGTGAGTTGGGTAGTCAATTCCATAAGGAGGGGCATTGGCACGAGCAACGGTTTGCAAATAGTTGTTGTTTCCATTGTCAACTAGAGAATCTCCGAATACAAAGAATGCTCTTGGCCTGGCTTCACTTTTAGGGACAGTTACTCCTAAGACTAAAACTAAACCTAGAACTACAATAAGAACAGAACTTGACGAGGTTGTCATTGTAATGAACCTTTGAATTGGCTTAGTTTCTGAAGAGTCTGTTTTAGAAATGGGATGGAGAGGCTGTTACCTGGGATATGAGTGGGATATGAGTGATGTGGTTGTGCACGTAAATATCATAAATAGGATCATTGCATGAGAATAGGGCTTCTGATTTTGGATGCTCTTTTATTGAAGATTTTAAGTAGTAGAACTAAAATTGTGGCAACTTTACGAGCTTCATTCAGAAGGGTTGGTGGCATTACGCAACAACAATGTGCTTCCACTTTCCAAGTCTATGCTTGCTTTTGACTTTGATTCCAACCTTGGGTGAGATATGGATAAATATACCCATTTTTTTAGATAATTAATTAATTATATTACCAATACAATAATTTATTTATGTTTTTCTTGTTTACAAAAGCTAAAGGTTTTGTTTGAGGCATTTATTTTCAATAGACTTGGCACTTATTAATTTTCATTGACCAATTTGATTGAGGCATAAAAACTTAAAAGGATAAAATATTTTTTTTATCAGTAAACAAAATATATATTGATAAATGAAGTATTTGGAGGGTACGTACTCTGATGCTTATACATGATTTATAACAGATTGTGATAAATATGCTACATTAATTACATTTTCCTCTCAACCCCACGCTGAGTATATAATATATTCCAAATATTATAGATAAAAATTCAGATTACAAAAGTGATTCAATCTTACTATTATGTCAAACAGAACATTATATCTTCATTGGACTGCATGAAATTTGAGAGTCACGTAAAATTTTCTTTCACATTCAACTATCCTTCGGAGCAGTGGTAATTAAGATGATTTTAGATTGGTCATATAAGTATATTTTCCTTTTGAGTTGTGTAATTTTTTTCTGTTTTTAATTCTTTTGAAATAAAATTATTATTTCCTTAATATTATATGGATACATTTTGCTCACTCTTACATTTAAAGAAACTAACGTTCTTAAAACTTGATTATTTTACAAGAATTAAAATGTATTTTAACTAATTTATATACACTATTTTTTTATGATAATGTTTGGTGATGGTCTTGCACAATAAAGATTTCCTTCATAGTAATTGTAACAGGAATTAATATTGAGCTAAGTCTACGGTGCTACGTCAGTTTGTTACCCCACTTAATAAATTGTTAGTCACTTCTTCTTTTCCAACTTATGAGGCTATTAAAATTCTACCAACGTTGGAAAAAAAAATGCTAATAAACTATATTAATGATGTAATCTCTTTCTCCACTTTACTGAGTAAACATGATGAAATAAAGACAAAAAAAGTGGTCAATACTTGGAATTTAACTACTCTATATATCTACTTTTTTGGTTTTAAATTTTTATTTTTAAAATGAAAATCATATTTATAAAAATAGTAAAACGAATTGATGGTCAAGATCTTTCTCAGAATAACCACGCAAGGCTCATGTCATTAAATAAAACTATTTAAGACTAGTAATAGACTAGCTAGTTTTAATGGAAACCTTTTCCTCCAAACAAAACCCAGGATCAGTGTGTTTGGTAACCTTTGAAACTTGAGTTTCTGTCTTAAAAGCTGAAGCTCCTATGTGTGTAGTTTTCGCATCTTTCTGATCTATGACATCAAAGTAAATGTAAACATGAGTTGCAAAGCAACTCCCAAATCCAAAATCAGACACTACAAAACTCATTAATTTTAACGAATTCATTAACATATATTATAATAACATCCAGTACTAGCTACACATAGTAGAAGTTTCTTAAAAGTCAATATTGCAGTTAATAAAATTAGAGAAATTTTCAGTATAGTTTGTTGTGATACTCTTATCAGTTTTATTCTGAAAAATCTGGTATCAGATCCCTCTGCTAGGCCTTATACAAAGCTGCCATCTTTGACATTTTACAACAGCAAAGAAAATGACTATAGAAGAGAGTTTCACCAACTATTTCAAGTTTTGATGGTCATTATGATCATTGGATCATGTTAATGGAAAATTTCTTTGGATCTTAGAAATATAGGGAGCTGATTGATTTGGATATGTTCCACCAACAAGCGGGACAATACTAACAGAACTGCAACAAAAGAAAAATGATGAGATGAAGTTGAAACATATAAAAGCAAAGAATTATCTTTCAATCAATTGATAGAACTGTCCTTGACACTATTCTCAGGAAGAACATTACTATAGAAATATGGGATGTTATAGAAAAAAGTTTGAAGGAAAAACAAGGACAAAAATATCCCATTTTCAAGTTCTCGGCGGATAATTAACTTGAAGTTATGGAGATGAAGTCTAGTGAATGAGGGGCTGAATACTTCTCTAAAATGCAAATTTAGAGAATCATGGTGACTGATATAAAAATGATATGAACCCCTTCGAGATGTTTTTATATGTATTGTTTGTTAGGTTTTGCGTGGAAGAATATGGATTACATCATTGAACTAGATTGGAAAATATTTGGATTAACATATAGTTTGAAATCTGGTTAACTATGTTGGAGAATTAGTTAAATGAGTATTTTACTTTTAAAATCCTGGTTATTGATGTAAAATGCTCATTTAACATTAAATTGTCCTATGTAATTTATTACATTTCAAACTATGTAAATCCAAATTTTTTCCAAATTTAAGAACCGTGACAACCCAAATTTGTTATGTGTTACATTGATGATGAATTGATGTGAATTAGGTAAACTCTATAGTAGGTGCTTATTTTAAATTATGTTAAAATTTGTCACGAAAATTGGACAAATATTCACACTAGTGTAGAAAGAGCATTTAACGTCTGTTATTTTGGTCTTTTAACGTTAGTTTCAGAACCGACATCTTTGTGGGTGACGTTAATCAAACGTCGGACTCAAACAGGCCCGACGTCTTTATAGACGTCGGTTACTGCATGATCCCGACGTCTAAAGGGCTCCATAGATGTCGAACAATGCAATGTCCGACGTCTAAAGGGCTCCATAAACGTCGGACATTGCATTAACCGACGTCTATTGCAGCTCGTGTCTTTGAGTAGCGTAGTAGCACCTTCTTCCTTTACTAGTTTCGTCAAAAAAAAATGTTGCGTCTTTTGGATCTCTTATGGCATTTCAACCGAATCTGGGTCATTGCCTAGTTCTATTAAAATCGCCAATGAAAACGAACGGTGACAATAGAACTAGGCAAGGACCGAAGTTCAGTTTTGGGTTGAAACGCTATAAGACATCCAAAAGATGCAAACTTTTCTTACGAGGAAACTAGCAAAGGGAGAATGCGGTACAACGCTACCCAAAGACACGAGAAAAGTTGCACCAAAACACAATAAAAACTCATTTTAATCGGTTCAAATGAAAGATAATCAACCAAAGACTAATATAATCAGAATAAAAGTACGTTTAAACAGTTCAAAAGAGACAAAAACGCACCTGGAAAAGCAATACGGCAAAGAGAAAAGACGAGAAGAAAGACGATGAAGTGCTTGTAACAGCGGGTTGGATGTCTGATTAACAGCAAACTAGACGTCGGCTCCCCAGGTGAATCGACGTCTATTCTGGCCTAGACATCGGGGCCCTCACTAATATGACGTCCAAAAAAACTTTTCATCAGGCCATTTAGACGTCGGATGACGTGATCCGACGTCTGTACGGCGAAAAAAAATAACTTTTCATTTACCTGTCAGACATATACACGACCGTTAGGAGGGGCACCGACGTCTATAATCAAATATAGACGTCGGGGTGGTGGGATCGGACGTCTCTAAGGCGGAAGAAAATGACTTTTCACCTACCTGTCAAGCACTAAGACATCGGTTAGGAGGGGCCCCGACGTCGGGGCCCACACTAATATGACGTCCAAAACAACTTTTCATCAGGCCATTTAGACGTCGGATGACGTGATCCGACGTCTGTACGGCGGAAAAAAATAACTTTTCATCTACCTGTCAGACATATACACGACCGTTAAGAGGGACACCGACGTCTATAATCAAATATAGACGTCGGGATGACGGGATCGGACGTCTCTAAGGCGGAAGAAAATGACTTTTCACCTACCTGTTAGGCACTAAGACATCGGTTACGAGGGGCCCCGACGTCTATAATATTATAGACGTCGGGGCCCATACTAACCGACGTCTATATGCCCACTTATTTAAGAAAATATCACCGGTCAATAATTTACGTTGGTTATTTTGTGATCCGACGTGTACGAAGTGACGTTAAAGCCCAATTCTGTACTAGTGTCAGGTGGTTGATGTGGTCTACCATTCACGTAGACTCTTTCTTTCGAAGAGCATCGAGTTTTTTTTTGTTTAATAATATTTTTGTATAAAGTGATTTAATTTTATAATTTGATGAGAGTGTTCCAAAAATATTTTTCCTGAGTAGTCTTCTCCTTTATACTTGATAAAACCACATGTATCATTGTATCATTCTTAATACTAAGTGCAAATTTGCAATAATATTATAATTATTTTCTTTCCACCTTTGATTTGTGATATCTATAGATTTTTTTCAATTCAATGTGCATAATTGGTTTTTCTCAAAATTGTTTTCATCTTCAATTTTTATAAGAAAAAAGTTATTCTTATTAAATTTCTTTATCTTATATTTTTTTTCATAGTTTTAAAACTAACTTGTACACTTTTCATTGTGAATAAATAATATATTTATTGAAACAATGTCTGTAAAATGTGAACCTTTTTACATCCACTAAGGTTGGTCACTTGGAAACACATTAAATACTAAGTGTTTTCTTTCTGTTTTCTAGGTATAAACTTTCATGTGTGTATCCAATAATATGATTAACTTTTTTCTAGTGTGAAATATCATATTAGTTGTAAGCACGTGACATATTCATATTTTTCTACAATAAAGAACTTGTTATCATTCTTGGATACCATGACAACAAGTGGGATACGACACGAATAATGAGTATTCGTTATTTGATCCAAAAAAAAATGTAGCTGGTACTTGTTTTGTTATTTGTTGGATACTCGTTTAGAAAGTATTTGCGGTATCTATAAATACTTACGAATATTTAAGAAAAAGTATTTTATAATTTTTTAAATAAAATTTAAATAAAGTTAAAAAATATATAAAATATAAATTAAATTAAATTAACTATAAATTAAAATTTAATTTTATAAAATTTAATATAATAAAATATAAATTAATTTAATTTTAATTAAATTAAATTTAATAAAATATAAATTAAATTTTTATTTTTACTTTTTTAGAGTAATAGATACTTTAAGATAATATGATATCCATATCAAACCTATTTATAAACGGATAATAATAATGGATACCCACTTATATCAACTATTCATTTTATCCACGGACTTGCATATATTATTATCATCCCCTTTGATACCATAGTAACAACATAAGAACTCAACTAAAATTGAAAGTAAAACAAGAAATACAATATACAATAATATTTTCTATATTAATTTTTTTCTCAAAAATTTAAGAAATGGAAGAATAAAAAAAGTAAAAGAAAATATTTTCAAATATCTTATTAAAACAACCTTGTGTTCCTCTTCTAATTACTAAAATAATTGTTTTTTCCAATGCTGAGATTTTTTTTCTGACAATAAAAATACTTAAAAAAATATAGATTCATCAACAACTAACTTAATGTTCATAAAATATAAAAAATATTTATAAATCTCTCTACAAAAACGAACTAAATAACTAAAATATCTCCGATAACACTTTATTGGTCAGAACGATTTCTAAACATTCCTATCCATGGAACGTTTCAGAGCAGACGAGTAACAAAGAAATTGTTGCATTCAAATCCTCAAAGTTGACTTTGAAGTCAAGTAATAATAACGTGACAAAAACATGCATACAAACCATTATCTCATAAATATTCCACACTCTTGATATTTTATTCAAACTCTATATAATCTCAAACTTTTATATTAGCCATTTTTCCAACCTTGGCTTTATCTTACTAAGTTTTAGCTTTTTGTGTACTTGTAATTTTATCTTTTACATTTGCACCAACAGAACAATCATCTATAAAGATAAAATTAAAGTTATAATAAAATACCGCTTTTTCATATGTTAGTATTAACTAATAGATTCGAACATTTTAAATTTGGATAAATATGAATTTATTTTGTATTTAATGCTTTTGAAAAAAATGGTTAGTTTTAATTTTTCGAAAATGATTGTGCTAGTAGTGGGTTTTAAGCCTAACTCAACCCCACAAAATTAACTTATAAAATAAGGTTTACACCCACTTATAAACTAAGAATTGATCTTATTTCTAGTCGATGTGGGATTTTCAACAATTGTCTATCTATCGATCGTATGGTTAATTTGTTTGTACAGACGTGTGATCTATCTAGTTACAAAAATTTCAACACATTTCCGTCATGGAACGTGGAAATGGGTTCAGAGTAGACTAAGTCAAGCAATGGCGTGCAGATGCATGCATGCAATGAATGGGGGCAAAAGTCTTTTGGAATTTCATGTTTATGACTTATCACAGTATAAGAATCAGCAGATAACTTACATGGTATTGAGTGAACATAATTTAGTGAAACTCAGTTTCTCATAAATATACCTTCTATTACCTCTATTTGCAAAACATGCAGTTTTTGGTTTCCAATTTCCATCCTGTTATTTATGTTTTGGTGTTTATAGGCTCTGTTCTGAAGTTGGGATGCGCGTCGTCTACACCATCGCAGCTTCAATTGGAAGCAAACGCTATAATCAATAGCGGATGGTGGAATTTGCCGCACTCACAGTCACTTCATATATGTTCATTGATTGAGGGTATACATTGCAATGATTTTGGAAGTGTAACTCGTATCACATATCTGTATTCCGAGCGACCCATTCAATTAGCAAATCTAAACCTTTCTGCTTTTAAGAATTTGGAACATCTTGAGGTCTCCTTCTGTAGTCTAGAAGGTATTATTCCATCTGAAATTGATAGTCTTTCCAAACTTACTTATCTTGATTTATCTCATACTTCCATTCATGGAGAGATACCTCTTACAATAGGAAATCTTTCCAATCTCACTTATCTCGATTTGTCCTACGATTCTATTTCTGGTCAGGTGCCTCCTTCAATGGGAAATCTAATTCAACTATCCACACTAATCATTTCTAACAACTACATTGAAGGCCCTGTTCCTTTTCAATTGTCATTCTTGAAGAATCTTACTATCATTGATCTATCTTACAACAAAATCAATGGAGCTTTGCCTATTTCACTTTCAAACCTCACAAACCTTCAAAATCTTGACATTTCACACAATCTACTCTCCGGTTCCCTTGAACCTTTCTTAGTTGGATATTTTCCATTATTGGAAACTCTGGATCTAAGCTACAATAGTCTTACCGGAGGGATTCCTCTGTCCCTACATAATGTCCGCTATGTGGACCTTTCCTTCAACAATTTGAAGGGTCCCATTCCAAACGGTGTACATCCGTTTGCGCTAATGGGGAACAAGGGTGTATGCAGCAACATTACAAATATACGAATCCAATACCAATTCCAGCCTTGTTCAGTCAGTCAGAAGAAACGAAGGAAACTGGTCATAATTCCTACTATCACCATATTTCTAATCATGATCTTCTTACTACTTCTATATCTGAGGCACAATCGCATTACAATCAAGAACAAACATTCAAGGATAAGTGAAACATCTAAGAATGGGGACTTGTTCTGCATATGGAACTATGACGGAAGCATAGCCTATGAAGATATCATCATAGTTACTGAAGACTTTGACCTCAAATATTGTATTGGAATAGGTGCGTACGGAAGTGTTTTCAAGGCTCAACTACCAAGTGGCAAGATTGTTGCGGTGAAGAAACTCCATGGCTTTGAAGCAGAGGTCCCGACTTTTGATGAGAGTTTCAGAAACGAAGCCAAAGTATTATCGAAAATAAAGCATCGACATATAGTCAAGCTCCATGGATTTTGCTTGCACAAAAGAATAATGTTTTTGATATATGAGTACATGGAGAAAGGAAGCTTGTCTTCTACCTTGTTTGATGACATGGAAGCAATTAACTTGGATTGGAGGAAGAGGGTTAACATAGTGAAAGGCACTGCACATGCTCTTTCATATCTCCATCATGATTGTGTTCCTCCTATAGTTCATAGAGACATATCAACAAGCAACGTCTTGCTTAACTCTGAGTGGGAGCCCACTGTTTCCGACTTTGGCACAGCTCGATTTCTCAACCTTGATTCATCCAATCGAACTATTGTTGTTGGAACCATTGGATACATAGCACCTGGTAAATTGTTCATATTTTTCTCTACTTCTATTTATTTATGATTTGGTGCATATGAGGCCTAATCAAAATACATGTAACAAGTAGATGGAGTAGCTTTTTACATTTGTATTTTAAATTATTTTTCTTTTGATATTTTAATTTGATGTTGTCAAAACGCAGAGCTTGCATATACAATGGTTGTGAATGAAAAGTGTGATGTGTATAGCTTCGGAGTGGTGACACTGGAAACTTTGATGGGAAAACATCCTAAGGAAATACTCTCATCACTTGATTCAACTTCTACAAATAGTGACATCAAATTATGTGAAATATTGGATCAACGCCTCCCGCACCCAACATTTTCAGATTTACAACACATAGTTGTTGCTGCTATTATGGCTTTTGCATGTTTAAATCCCAATCCCTGCTTTCGTCCAACAATGAAACGCATCTCTCAATGTTTTCTTAGTCGGCTTACACCGTTCAACATTCCTTTACGTCTTATTTCATTGCAGCAGCTCATAAGTCAAGAACTCAGACAATCCTTAAAATTGTGAACTTTCTTAAATATTTTGAAAGAAATTTCGATTGTAACTACTTTCAATGAAAATTTTGTGGTTGTTTATTACATTAATAGTTAGAAAACATTCTCAAATTATATATATTCTTGAATTAAACTAGTTTTCATTTTACGGTTCTTATGACTTATAGTAATTCTTAAATGTGACACCAAAATAAATAATATTTGACATTGTTAATTTTTTATTTATTTATTTATTTTTATTTTGATGTCATGTATGTGTAAAGAGTTTTTTTATTATTTTATTTTTTTGTTTTATTTTTAAACTGTTTTGCCCTAAAAATAGAAATATATTTTAACTTAATTTACTTTTTTAGTATTTCAATCTAATTTAACTTTTATTCATATTTATTTTTCTATCACATGTTTTTAAAAATTTATTTTACTTTTTTATCGATTCAATTTGTTTTTAAATTGATTTATTGTAAAAGTAAAAATATATTTCAAGTCTATCATTTAATATCTAATAAACTAATGTTTTAGTTGTTATATAACATTAATAATTTCTTAAATTTATAATTTTCATATTAATCTCTAGAAGGTCACTTACATCTAAAGTTAAAATTCTTTTTGTTAATCAATTTAATATATAATATACATCTCTAAAATTATTTTAAAAATTAGTTGATTTTTAAAATAAATAAATAATTTTTTTTGCATGAATAAATAAATGAGAGGACACCACTTTATTTCGTGGTTAATTTGAAGTTGAAGTTTAAATCGAACAATTTATTCTACTTTTCACAACTACTAAATTAGTAATTGAATTTTTGTCACAAATATTATTTTATGATTATTTCAGTCATCATATGAACTAATTTCACTGACAAATCATTTGGTCACTGTGGCTAATTTGAAACTAATTGAAATCGGTGACTATTTCAGTCACAATTTGTAACTGTGTTATTTTGATAGCTAAATGACTTTTTTTTTATTGTAGTAGAAATATCCTTCAGAGTCTCAATACTATAAAATCACATTTATCATTACTAAATGCAAAATTTGCAATAGTATTGTATCTAATTTCTTTTCACCTTTGGTGTATGATGTTCACGGATTTTTCTTCAATTGCATATGCACAATTATCCTTTCTTAAAATTACCTTATCTTCAATTTTTACAATAAAAATTTATTTCATTATTAAACCTTTCTATTTTATATTTTATTGTCATGAAAACTGACTTATTATTGTTGAAACAAACAAAGTAAACCGTGAACCAAAAGATAAGTTATCAAGAATAACAGGTGGGCCATTAATGAAAATACTAAGTATTTTCTTACCTTAACTTTTCTAGACATGAAATTTCAAACTATCATATTCTATCCTGTAACAAGAATAACTTTCTTCATATGTAATATAAGACTAATTGTGATCACATGATATACTCAAAATTCTTCTACAATCAAGAACCTAGCTTTGATATCATTGTTTGATATTAGAGTAATAACATAATACATTGATTGATATTAGAGTAATAACATAATAACTTAACTAAAATTAGAAAGAAAAAAAAAACATATAATGGACAATAGTTTCTCTATTTTTTTTTGAAGTACTAAAACAATGAAATAATAGAAAAATAAAAGAAGAGATTATATATATTATTAAAAAAAACCTTGCTATATCATGAAAAATAAACCAAAACAAATTTTATATCCGACTTCTTTTCTCATACTAAAAAACTTGAAAAAAAGAATACAAATTCATCGATAACAAAATCATAACAAAATTATAACAAAATTATAAATCTCCCAATAACAATTAACTAAATAACTAAAGCATCTCCAATAAAGACATTATTGGTGACAACGATTTCTAAACATTCCTATTCATGGAACGTTTGATAGAGCAGACCCAGCAACGTAGAAATAGTTGCATTAAAATCTTCAAAGTTGACTTCGAAGTCGACTTCGAAGTCAAGCAATAATAATAGGACAAATGCGTTTGCACCGTCAATGGGGCAAGACACTCGAATTCTTTGCACAAACAATAATTACATGCGTACAAATCATTATCTCGTAAATATTCCACTCTTGATTTTTAGTATTATACAAACTCTTTATAATCTCAAACTTTTACTCTATTTAGCCATTTTCTCAACCTTGCCTATCTTACTACATTTTAGTTTTTGTGTACTTGTGATTTTATCCTCCACAATTTGCACCAACAATGCAATCTTATATAAAAATAAATTTAAAGTTATATTAAAGTACCGCTATGTCGTATGTTAGTATTAATTAATAGATTCAAACATTTTAAAATTCTATATATATATATGATTTCTCAGTTGGATATATCTGCCATTCTTGAAAAGTTTGGATCTAAGCTACAATAATCTTATTGGAGCAATTCCTCTACCTCTTCTTAGTATATATTATGTGGACCTTTCCTTCAACAATTTGAATACAACAACATTTCATATATTCAAACCAAATACAGATTCCATCCTTCTTCAATTCATGACAAGAAAGCAAGGCAAAATTAGTTGGTCATAATGCTTTTTATCACCATTTTTCTAATAATGACCTTCTTACTACTATATATGAGGCACAACTGCATTGCAATGAAGAATAAACATGTAAGCATAACTGAAATATCTATCAGCGGGGACTTGTTTTGCATGCATCATTTTTTACCTCAAATATTGTATTATTAGATATTTATAAAATTAGAGATTACATATATAATATATTTGGCGAAGTAAAATTAAATTGTTGAATTATTTTTTACAATTACAATTTGGACCCAAATCAAGTTTAGAACATGCTTACTAAATGATGGGTCAAATTAACTTTATTTGTGATATAAAAATTTTATTTTTCTTTTACTTTATTACAAAAAGGAGACAAAACTCTAAGTTAAAAATGGTATTAAAATATTTTAGAATTTAGAAAAAGGGACAAATAGTTTTAAGAAAAGTTAAAATATTTCTGTGCTAGGAATTTTTCCCTACATTTTCGTATCTAATCAAGAATTTGTGTATTAGACTTGTCAAACTTGGCTTTTACTATTTTTTTATCCAGGTTTTTGTTATTATATTTTCAATTCCTAATTTCCTTATGTCCAAATTGAGTACCAATTTTTTTTGTTGCTGCAATGGTAAGAACACAATTTAAAGTTAAGTTAATTAGCCCTTGAAGAAAGAGTGTTGGAAAAATTAGTATCAGCTTGTTAAATACAATCTTTCGCTGGTAATGTATATATAGTTCTACAATGCCATTAAAATTTGCACGATGCACTCCATTCTATTGAAATAAAACCAAATACGAATGTCGCCACGTGTACATGAATGCAAAGGGCGAATTTCAGCGAGAGATTCCAAAACTGAGAGAAGCTTGGTGACAGAGAGAGTCTCTTATTGTAGATGAGAAAAGATGTGAAACAATCCTCAAAGAATAATGAAAGGATTCATATTATCCATAATAGTCATGATAAAAAATCATAAAATAACTAGTGATACAATATTAAAGAACACAAAAATAATTATTTGATTCATGCCAAATACAAAAGATATCTTGTGCTTCACCAAAAGAATAAAAAAAATCTTAAAAAATATGTATAAATATGTCTATAACAACTAACTAAATAAGGTAGTGGATATCTCTAATAATACTTTATATGCAACAACCATTTCTAAACATTCCTACGCGTGTTTGTGTGAGAGGCAACAACGC